CAGCCAAATCCAGGCCCCCAACTTCCTCAGGTCCCCTTAGTGAACTAAGGGCCAGTGGAACCAGAACCTCAGTATAGGGGTATGGTGGCCAGCAACAGGATGCCAATGGCAGGTTCAGGAAGGCATCAGAAAAGATGCCTTATTTCGGTGATAATTTCATTTACCTTCGTACTTGGATTTAAGAAATAGCCACAGGTGCTAAATTAAGAAAATAGTCCTAGAGGCAGATTTAAGCCTTTCCATTTTCTGACAACTATAAATGATAGGCATGCACAATGACTAATTTTAAACACACCAGTATTTTTTTTTTATTTTTCAGTGTAAAAATCAAACATGATAAAGAAACCTTGAAAACTACTAGCAGGGCTTTTTTTTTTTTTTTTATGTGACGATGCGTTCATGGTTCTGGCACAGTTAGCATTGCTACATTTCAGAAGCTGACTTTCTTTAAACAGCCATTACAGAGGAGTAGGGCACCTTATGGTGCTCTAAAATAGTTGGACTCTGGGTAAAACTTGAGAGGAGTTAAGAGGGAAGGTCACTGCTGGGCAGGGAGGGCATTTCTGAGAAACCCAGAGAGAATGCTATGAGCACAGGCTGTGTCAAAACCACTCGGCAAGGGCTCCCTCCCTTCCTCCTGGGGGGAAGGCCACTCTGAGCCCCTTTGAGCCCCCAAACCAGGTTCCCTTCTTCCCCTGTCATTCTGCAGACAAGGGTCATCCACAGACCACACGTGTGGTGGCTTTGGCAACCAGAAATTAAAAATAACCTATGGTTTTTCCAGTAGCCAAAATGATCCCTCACCAAAGCTCATAGACTGAGAACCTGAGCATGCAAAACCACAGTCTGGGTGAAGGGATGTCTGCTTTTCAAATGACCTGCTAATTCTTTGCAACCCACAGTAATTTGGTTTCTGTGAACCCACAGAAGCAGGCCCACCAAGGGTTTTGTCTGCTAACCTGGAAAAGTCCTTGTATGAATGAGTCACTGACAATGGGATCATTTTTAAGACTGCTTCATTTTCTTAACTATGTTAAAATGTTACTTGGGGAGTTAATAGTGGAGAGCTCCTGAGACAGGGAGGGAGCAGAGCCATTCTACTTTCCTGGCTGCAATGCCATGAAGTGTCTGTAGCATGTGGTTAACTCATATTGGTTTTAATGTTCAGCATATTCTTTACTCTTATGGATTAAAAGAGAGGAGGGAGACTGTGCTGGAGATTACATCCCTCCACTGTGCTACTGAATTACTGAACTGTGGTCCTAGTATGGCCTTGGAATATCTCCATGTCTTTAAATCCACATACAGTATACATAGTGGATAATTTGTAACCATCCAACGTAATCCGCCCCCCAAACAGTAACATCACCCCATAGACAAAATTACATAAAACTTCATAACATCCTTGGGAGGTAGATATCCTGTCCTTCCATTTTTTAATCAAAACATTGACATTCCATTTTTCAAATAACAGCTCAATTAATATCAATATTCGGCAGTCCACTCTTGTAATATTCAAGGAAACTTGCATCCAACCTTTTCAAAGTGCAAAGACCTGTTTATCATGTTGAGAGCGTGGTGGGGTACACACTATCTACAGCTGGGGTGAATGGAGCTACAGTTTTGTATTCTGAGCTCATGCAAGTCAAAGCCTACACTTCTCTTTCAAGCTCTTCTGAGTCCATGGTCCTTAGAGTCAGCAGTCCCCAGCCCTGCCCTGGGTTCACCGATCATTCGCAGAACCAGTCAGTCCTTTAAAGAACAGAATCCCTTTCCTATGGTGGCCCAGTTCTAGCCTTTGGTTTCAGGACAAAATTGTCTTCTTTACAGGCACTAAAGTCTCAAATCCATTCTGCTTTTCTGAACTCTGCTTATTGAGTTTTCTGAACTGTCCTTTGTCTGAACCTAAAAAATTAGCTCCCAGTTCTTTAAAGGACAAGAAGTATCACTGTCTATCTCTTCTGCACAACCTGATGCTATTTTCTAGGACAAAATTTTCATCATTCCTTTTCTTTTCTCTTATTGAGCTCATAATTCTCCATTCCAAGTCCTTGTGAAACAGGTTGGCTATCTCTGAGGATTCAAATCTCGAGTGGTCTGAGTTTCCAAATCTCCACTGTAGACTAACAGACCTGTTCTCTGTGGGGTACATTTTAACGTTAGGACTCTAAGCATCTAACGTTTCCATTACGGTCTTACTGCCTGTTCTGGGATATTTATCAGCAGTACTGCTTTTTCCCTTAAAACACGCTAAACCTCACATTTATCAGAGGGGAAAAAGCAGAGGAGGAGAATAAGAATAGTGATACAGAGACTACTTGGAAAAACTTCATGTCAGTGTGAGATTTGTTCATAACACAGTGTTTCAACTAAGCAAAATTTTGTGTTTTCAAACCCTTTTCTTTGCAAAAGAAATCTGAGGTCATTTTATATCTGGGCCACCACTATGAGTATGGGCCTAGCAAATGTTAAGCGCTGCGTTTGAAAGATGAGAAATTTTGTCACTGACAAAGTCAGAAGCTAAGTCAGGAACAGCTCAACGGGTAACAAGGCATAAGATTAATTAGCTTATCTGTGTCAAGGCAAATATCTTTTAGGGAGAATGACTTAAAGAATATAAAGACTGGTGGATTTAGTTATTTATATATTTTTAAGTTTATTTATTTATTTCAAGAGAGACAGAGAGAATGAGCAGGGGAGGGGCAGAGAAAGAGAGAGAGGGGCATCCCAAGCAGGCTGTCAGAGTGGAGCCTGATGCAGGGCTCGAACTCACAAACTGCTAGACCATGACCTGAGCCGACACCAAGAGTTGGATGCTCAGCGGACTGAGCCACCCAGGCATCCCAAGACTCATAAATTTATTACTGTCTTTTTGTCCCTGGTGGTGATGGCGGAAGGTAATGGGGGAGATACTTCTGTTTAGCTCTATGCCATTAGGAAATACCTGTGCAACAATTCAAGTGGTGATAAGGAACATCTGGAGAGCCAGTTCTCTTTCTCTTCCGCCTCACCCCAATTCTGTCACCTTGGCTGCAAGGGAACTTTCCATGGGGTTGGTTGTTCCTCAGATCGTGGCCTCCCGGGTGTGTGGTGGGAAATGAAGGCAAGCAAAGTCCCACAAGATTCATGTTCAAAAGGACTCTGGCTGAGAAAGGAAATGTGCTGTCTGAGGCTGCTGTAGGAAGGACCACACTGTCCAACAAAGTCAGATGTGAATCCTGACTCTGCCCTGCTCCCTAAGCAGTCTTGCTAAGATTCTCCTTCACCCTCTCCTCCCACCACCAGCAAGTGGTGGGCGGGGACATCAATTAGTCTAAGGAGTGCCTACAGAAGGAAATGTTCACCTGTGTGGTGACAACCACTTACTACATATTACCTGGTCCGACTTGACTTTAAGATTTAAGAATGTGCGGTTTGCACATATAAATTTTCTTTGGACTCGGAGTACCCCAATCTTGGCCCAGAATGCTACAGTGAAAGTAGCATTTCTGAGTGGTCACCCCACTCAGAAGACTGACCTCAGAAGATAGAAATCATTCAGAAAATCTATTAGTCACAGGGAAAATGAGGGTCATAGCTACAAAAAAGTCCCCAGGTTAGTGGGATGGCGTCTTTCACTATCTTAAGGTGTAAGAGTTGGCTTCTTCACCACTTATCTGGTGGAAATGCTTGCTTTCCCTAGCTTTCTCTCTTACTAATTCTTGCTTCCAAATTCTCTTTCTTTTGTCCCCGAAGAGTCAACAGGATGTGTGGCATTTCAAGGGTATAATAAACAGTTCCTTGGCCACAACGGGTGTGAGCAACCTGGCGTAGCTCGGAGTCTAGGATTACGGAAATACAGTGATAGGCTGAAGACTATGCACTGAAATACGCCTAGTCTTTTAGCTGAAATCTCAAACATGTTGGGACTGTTACCATGGAATTTCACAAAGTCTTTTTTTTTTTTTTCCCTGAGACAGACGCCATGCTACAAAGAAGGATAAGCCATTTGTGCAGTCTGAGGTGGAACATTTTAATTATTGGTAGCACATAAATTAGTTGAGTTGGAGTCTAATGCCTAAGCCCTTTTGAAATATCAAGGCAGATACATAAAACACTAATCTACCAGGAATTGAGGATTCTTGGCTCTGGTGGAAAGGTGCACAAAGCTGACTTTTAATTTGTAACTAGGTTCCATGAAGTTGTCCCTGGAAGCAGAATTTATTTTTACTAAAACCAGTTCTTAAGAAGGAGAGAGAGAGAGAGAGAGAGAGANTACTAAAACCAGTTCTTAAGAAGGAGAGAGAGAGAGAGAGAGAGAGAGAGAGACAGAGAGAGAGAGAGAGAGAGAGAGAGAGAGAGAGAGAAAGGCTTTGGCAAGCAGCTGCAGGTGCCACTTTATGTATATACTTTGGGGCAAGATCAAAATACCTTCCTGTTTTTTGTTCCTCCCCACCATCCTCTTCACATTTACAACTAAGTGGTTAAAGGAAAAATTTAACAACACTACCATTTTCACACCAAAGCAATGTGAAACAGATATTCATACACATACTCTTCTGCTTAATACCCATACATTAAGGGGTCTAAAAAGTAACTGTGGTTACAGCATAATCACATACGTTTAAAGCTGGAAGGGACCTTAGAGAATGTCTAAACCCAACTCTTACTTTATGGTTGAAGAAACTTAGTTTTAAGAGTTAAGTAATTTCCCCAAAGTCATACAGCTAATTAGCAGCCAATATGGAATTCGCAAACAGATTTTGTGACCCCTATTGCAGTACTAAGTTTACAATTATCCCTGCACTTTTCCTTGATGACATATTTCCCATAATAGATGATAAACCTGACCGATATATATGCAGAATCAAGATATTTCAGGAGTTTTTGTGGCATACAGCAGCTCCACTTAAAATGGAGAGAGAAACCCACCCTGCTTGATCAAGGAGAATCTGTCAGCAGAGCTGCCCCCTTCTCATCCCATCAGGAAGCTCAGCACAGATCAAACAACACACATGACGTCTGTCCCTGAATCCTCTCCTCTGGGGAGGGGAGACTAAGTCACTCTTTTTTAATTCTTTGGTGTTTTTGGTTTTTTGCTCAAAAAAAGAAATCATTGGTAAGTGTCTGTACACTAATGCTCCATGAAGGGGACCAAGAACTTTTAGGTAGTTACCCACCCCTCTCCCTGCCCCATGGTGCTTCTAAACCATTTCTCCCTCAGAGCCCAGTTCTGCCAGTCTTGATCATAGGAAATGGATGCCATCGTCCAAAGCAGACAACGTCCTGGAGTTTCAAGGATGCTCTATGTTTAAAGCCATCAGTTCTTCTGATATAGAATTTCTCCTGTACATGATTGGTTTAACCCGAAGCAACATTTAATTGATGATGGGAAGGTTAAAGGGTAGAAGCAGAAGTATCATCGGGTGACTTGATTTTTTTTTTCCTTTGTGTGCTAAGAAATGGGTCTGCTGCCTAGAGACTTGAGTCTTCAATTCTTGGTAACAGATACTTATTTTATGGCTATTCTTTTCCTTACCATTAGAGTATAATTTGGGATGAGGAGATTATATCCTCGACTTTCAGCCTGTGTTAAGTACAGAAGGGCATGGCTTCCAAGCCAGGTTAGCTGGTGAGCTCTTCTTCTTTGTGGACCTGGACATATGACCAAAAGGTTTTTCCACATATGGCTGATTTATCTACGTATCTTGGAAAGAATGTCTCTTGCAGCACACTGAGGGACTCTTTTGACTGGCAACAAACTCCAAGGACTGCTTGTTCTGTTGCTGCCAAAGATAATGGTGAAATACTTCACTGGCTTTTAAATATCGTAAAAATTCAAGTCCATGATGAGAAAACAAAACTTTCACAAAAATGGTAACATGATATACCTGCAAACAATTTCTGAATGAAGACAGCATTTCCCTGTTGCCCATGTGAACATGACCATTTGGACACTAAAAATGGTATGGAAAGGAGTTTGGAAAGGAGTTTGTTTGGAGAATAATTCATTAGGTGGGGTATTGGTTTTAACAAACGATGTTGAATGCTCAGGAGTAAATCATCTTGGGGACAAGATATTCACTTCAGCATGGCTCTGTGCTCTCCTCTGGCTATGTGAGATGAGAACTCATACCGATCATGGCTTCGATATCCACACATGTTACACTCAAAAGGGTCACGAAACCCGTGGCAACCCATGTGAATAGTGAACATCACATAATCCAGGAAGAGGACTCGACAGTGGTCACACCGATACACATCCATCACCTCCCCTTCTTTGTTGATCACTTTGATGGAGTCTCTTGGACAGATGGGTGGGGGCTTGAGGAGTTCATAAGAGCGGGGGACTTCCTTCAGAAGTGGCATCCCATTGCGGACCCGGGGAGGGACCATGTGATTTTGCTGGTAGATGTGATTCTGGCGTTCTTCGTGATTGCTATCAGTGTCCGTGGAATCATGGCCACTATTATTGGGGGAGAGGCCTCTTTCAGAAGGCAGGCTCTTCTCTGGCAGGTGGATATTCTTCTTTTCCAGGTCCTGGGGGGCACCATTTGGCATCTCGGCACGGGTGAGGGCTATGGGATACATGCTGCTGATAACTGGAACCATCTCAGAGGTGGGAGCAGGTGGTGTCTGGACTAAGGGGCGCAGGGCTTCTGCACCGAGATAGCTGATGGCGTTATTGATGGCTTGGTCCATCATCCGGGTCTGTATCATCTCACTCTCTTTTTCGTACATATAGCCAGGATTATAGTTGACGTCAAAGCAGTGGCGCTTCTCACCTAGAACAAGCGAAAGAAAGAATTACAAGAGGAAGAACACATGAGCAGAGAGTTTGTAAAATGATTTTCTGGAGTCCTTGAAAAGGGAGGAAGGACGTGCTACCTGCTCAAGAATACCCAGCTCAGGCAGAATGGCTCCACTGTGTGCTGAAGTCTCAAGCGACAGCACATATTTGGAGAGTCAAAATAAATGAAGCCAGCGGACAAAAGAGGTGTCAGAGATGTCATTAAGTTGAGGCTACAACATGAGCTGTTTCCACATCAGAGGGGAGCACTGGAGAAAAGAAGAGATAAAGAAGAGGCCACTGGGGCAGGGTTCACAGGAGGCCAGGGAGCAACCACAGTGCGGGAGCATGGCCCTTCCACTGTTCCTGGACCCTTATGACCCAATCAATTCCCAAACTCTTATTTTGCTTGTAATTTTCTGCTTGTAATTCTAGGGAGCCAGGGGAACGGAAGTGCTGCAAACAGTGGGGACGCTCAGCAACTGGCCTCTGCAGCTTTTTAAATAGCTATGGGGACCGAAGAAGTAGCTCCCAAACCTCCAACTTACCACTCCCTAAACAAATCATCTCCAGACTGAGATTTAAGAAAATGAACTTCAAGTGTAGAATGTTTTAGAAAAGCTTTTTTGATGAAAGATCATGGTCTTTTTTCCTTTCATAAAGTATGTTATTCTTTTGCTTGAAAAAAAAAAAAGTATCATTGATACACAGGTGATCATTAGGACCTATCTCACATGTAACTGAAAAATGTACTTGTGGTCACCCTGTCCTACTGCTCTTGTCAAACTGCTGAGAAATTCTGAAAACAAGAGTTTAGCCACCATTGGGGTGTGGGTGTTGTGTGTTAGAATACAGAGGCTCTCTGGCCACAGGGAAGGCAGGACCAGGGTCTGCAGTGATGGGCAGATCTGCTCAGTGGGGAGTGGCTGGTAGAGGGAAGAGAGAGGGGAGGATGTGTCAAGCACTGAGAATGGGGCTGAGGTATCGCTGATGCTTTTTCATTCTGCAGACACCAGATTCTGGGGAGATTTGCTGAACTAGATCCTCTCTTCCGTAACCTTCCCTAGGCATGTGATGGTTCCAAAGCTTGTCCCTGCCATACAGTAAAGGGTCCGATAATGAAAGAATTCAAGAAAGCAAAAGAATTGGAAGAACCGGTTTCTGTTCTTGAGAAAAAACTAGTGGGAGAGAAACAAATCTGTATGCAGGGATCAGAGAAGAATAAATGTTAGAAGTTGTGAAAGGACAGCCCTGCTCTATGGAGGTCTTTGATTTTATTCTAAATGCCATATTTGAGGCAGTTAAGTAGGGGAGTAACATGTCTTCTGTAAAAAGAATTATAAGGCAAGGGTAAGACAGTTTGGTAGAAATTGTATATTTAAGTGCAAAACATTTAAATGCAAAACATTCAAGAATACTTGGGGCAGGGACAGCATTCTTGGAAAACCCAGATTTTGAGAAGGATCTTTTTTTTTAAAATTAATTTTAAATGTTTTATTTATTTCTGAGAGAAACACACACACACACACACACACACACACACACACACACACACCATGAACAGGGAAGGGTCAGAGAGAGGGAGACACAGAATCTGAAACAGGCTCCGGGCTCTGAGCGGTGTCAGCACAGAGCCTGATGCGGTGCTCGAACCCACGAACCGTGAGATCATGACCTGAGCCGAAGTCAAACACTGAACTGACTGAGCCACCCAGACGGCCCGAGAAGGGTCTTAATGAACTGGTATGACATAGCTTTTCAGAAAGGTTGATGAGACATCCTGATTGAGGGAGGAGCATGACAGAAGGCAGAGAAGTGGTACTACACAGGGCACAAGCAGGGAAGAGTAAGAGAGTCTGGCTCTATCAGGAACAATGAAATACAGCATTTCTCAAACTTCAATTATTCTCTCACGTTCTGCAATATTGACACCTCAGGGTAGCGTGGTGGTTGATCCAGCCAGGTGGGACTGGATCTGATGTTGGCTCATTGGTTACCTGTTGTGTGATACTGGGCAAGTTAATGTGTCTATGGCTCCATGTTCTCATGTATAAAGGGGATAATAATTGTATCTACCACCCAGGGTCACTGGGAAATGCTTCGAAAAATGCCTAGTATGTAAAAAGCACTTGGTAAATGTTAGGAGTTTTTGTTTTGTTGGAATCAGCTCACCTTTTCTTTCTCTCTCTCTCTTTTTTTTGCTAAAATGAATTCTCTTTAAAAAATATGTTTATTTATTTTGAAAGGGAGAGAGAGTGTGTGTGCTCGTGTGCCAGCAGGGGAGGGGCAGAGAGGGAGGGAGGGGGAGAGAGAATCCCAAGCAGGCTCTGGTCTAGCAGCATGGAGCCTGATGTGGGACTTGATCTCATGCACCTGAGATCATGACCTGAGCTGAAATCAAGAGTTGGATGCCTAACTGACTGAGTCACCCAGGTGCCCTGAGTTTTCTTTTTCTTTTCTTTTTTTCTAATGTTTGTTTACTTTTTGAGAGAGAGAGAGAAAGAGAGAGAGAGAGAAGCAGGCGAGGGGCAGAGAGATGGAGACACAGAATCCGAAGCAGGCTCCAAGCTCTGAGCTGTCAGCACAGAGCCCAACACAGGGCTCGAAAACATGAACCGCGAGATCATGGTCTGAGCCTAAGTCTGACACTTAATGGATGGAGTCACCCAGGCACTCCACGAGTTTGCTTTTTTTTTTTTTAATATTTTTATTTATTTCTAGGAGAGAGAGAGAGAGACAGCGTGAGCAGGGGAGGGTCAGAGAGAGAGGAGATACAGAATCTGAAGCAGGCTCCAGGATCCGAGCTGGCAGTCAGCACAGAGCCCGACGCGGGGCTCGAACCCACGAACCGCGAGATCATGACCTAAGTGAAAGTTGGACGCTTAACTGACTAAGCCACCCAGGCGCCCCAACGAGTTTGCTTTTTAAGTAAACTTTGTATCACTAACATAAATGGAAAGCTAGAATCACCTACCACAAATAGAAGGTAATTATGAAAAGTAAAGATAATGCAATAGAGCGATTTATTTAAGTTTTGATCAGATACGGCAACTACTTGGAAACAAAGACCCCCTCTCTTTGTTAAAAACAGAGATTGCCAAGTGTGAGATTAGTGTTAATGAAAACTAACATCAAATTAAGTCTAAACCTTTTTCCTTTGGTATAATCAGGAAGATTGAGAGGGAACTAAAAAACAAAATAATTTTCTTGCCCCATGGGCCTCCTGGCATTTTGCATTCCACATTTGGGGAGATATTGAAAAAAGGTAACACATGGTGAAACTAAATGATGGGCATTCTGAATTTGGATTTGGATTTGAACAAAGATTTGAACAAAGAGCAAACTGCTACATACCCTTGAGCAAGGGAGGCTTGTGTCAAAATTTTATTTTCAGGAAATTAACCGAACAGCAAAGTGTAAGATAGACCAGGACAGTGAGAAATGGGAGCCAGAAAGAGCAGCTAGAAGACTAATGGAGTCAGATGGATTTGTCCTGCATCTCCACTACCTAAAGGCCAACCTGATAGTTTCTAGACAAACACCTGAGAGAAAAAAAAATATGCAAAGAAAAACACCCTGTCTTGGCAATTGAATAAAAAGCAACAGAAAAGTAGACCTTTGCCAAAGTCATCAGTGGTTCTTATTTGCAACTTCCAGATTGAATATATCTTTGATCAAAGCTGTTTGAAAGAATGAGGCGGAGAACATGAAAGCCAGCTAAGGTCACAAATATTCATTCCCCTGAACGTGACACAGAAATGGTGAACTTTGGCTTCCTGGCCTTTTCAAGGTCATCGATGATTTTCCAGTGTGGCTGGCTCTACTGAACTCCCCAGATACCAGGGGTCCGTGAGAATCTTTTTATCTTTTCAGCTAACAGAGAAGTTCCAGAAAGTTTCCGGGGTGGGGCAGACACATCATAAACTCTGCTTTTATCCTTTCTCCTGAGAGTTCGCTTTACTGAACTAGGCCTACAGTTTCAGAGTCTATACCACCTGCAGCACATGTCAGAAAACAGCTGAGTGCTAAAGTTGTAAGAGGCAAAACAGTAAGAGGGAAATAAACCTTTGGATGAGTGGAAATATGTGACTGAGTTCTGTGGTTAACACAGACCATTGTTCATTGTGAAGATGGGAGAACCTCAGATCTTCACGTGCACGCAACTGCAATCATCAGGTCCCCTCATCTCTGAGTTACGGTAACTTGAGTAGTGCAGATGATTATCAGTCACCTGTAGACACGATGACTCAATGTGTATGAAACTCAGAAGGGGTAAGCTACAGTAATTGAAAAGCCAACAGCTCACGTTTCTTTAGTAACATACTCATAAAAAAGGTTAGTCAAACCACAAGAGTGTAACTTCTCCCAAACCTGCACGGAACCTCTAGTCCAGCTTGTAGTCAAAATCATACCACACCTTTGAATGATTAATGATAGCAGCTTCAGGCTGAATTAGAGGTTTCCTTCTGATGAAAGTACAAATGGTAGCAACAAGTTCTGAGTTTAGGAACCAAGGCTGCCTGGTTGGGCCATTACTTACCCATGTTTCCTTTTAAAGGTGTCAATCACTCAATCCCTACCATCTAGGCTTTGGTAACTCTAAACTGAACAACTGCCTGACCTGAATTGTTGCAATGTGGTGAGGGTGTATGGTTGTTGGCTTCTAAGCACCAACTTGAAAGTACAGAATCACAGCCTAGAGCTAAAAGGGACCTTAGCTGAGCACACGGATTTAGACCTCTGCCTTCAGGCTGAGGCAAGATCCAACCACCCTAATCTGTTTACTTCTGGGTTTTTAAAAGAAAAAAAATTTTTTTTTAGTGTTTTATTTATTTCTGAGAGAGAGAGAGAGACAGTATGAGCAGGGGAGGGTCAAAGAGAGAAGGAGATACAGAATCTGAAACAGGCTCCAGGCTCTGAGCTGGCTGTCAGCACAGAGTCCAACGTGGGGCTTGAACCCATGAACCGTGAGATCATGACCTGAGCCGAAGTCAG